TGTGTCCGCAGTTTTGTTCCATGTCTGTCTGACTGTATCCCATCCCTGCCTGGATCCTGGCCAGTGAAGTTACCGTCAAGACGTCTAACCTCAGACGAACTTCGGAAATCCGTGAACCTGCGCTGAGGGCCGCCAGACCATCCCGAAGACTGATGGGCCGCCTCACGTGGATAGGGTTCTGGAGAAAGACTTGCCGCTTCTTCCGCAAGGTCTTGCCTGATGAGCTGGCGCTGAGGCTTTCCGTCTCTTCTGCCGTGGGAGATATTGTAGTGAACGCAGGAACAAGAACAAGCGCCGTAACAATACTCAAGATGCAGTCCGCCAATTCGAATATGCAAATGAGTCGGTAAACGAGTCCGCGCCGTCTTGGAAGTGGCGGGAATTACCCGCACATATATACCTCTCATTCCGCCAAGACAAGGCAGAGAGGGAGAGCGCGGCAAGGCGATTAGAACTATTACTACTACTTCTACTGTTGCCGAGTCCTGTCCTGTCCCACGACAATTATTGTAAGCATGTGGGGAAATATTATATATATTTTTTTTATTTGAGAAGAGTTCCTTCTAAATATATACGTATCTTGACTCGACTTTCCTTTTTTTACCACACAAGAGAAATCATTGTAACCTGGAGCTTCCTGGAAAATCATAATGATATGAAAAAGATAAATAATTAACTTCTAATATTAAATAAGAAATAATAATAAATCTTTATAAATAATAATTCAAGATAATTAAATGCTATAAGAATCATGGTAAGATTAATTACGCTATGAACAATAAGTAACAATAAACAAGTTTAAGTTACAAAAGTAATGAATGAATTTTGCCACGCCTGCCACATTGCTTTCTGATATACTACATTGATGCAGCTAAAGAATCAATTGGTGAATACCCGAGTGGAAGACGGAATTTTATCTCACAGGAGACACTGGAAGCCACAGATACCTGTCGCGCGGCTCGTCTGACAGGGGATCGGGATTTGCACCGTTCTCAGGTGAGCAGAACTGTTAAGAAGGGATAAGGAACAGTTTATTAGGTCTTGCAAAGGAGGTCGAAGGCCATTTTTTAGTAAATGACCTTCGTCATGCATATCAAGCTTTGAGAAAGCTGATTTCCAAACCCTCTTCCCAGGTCACAGCAGTTTGCTTATTAAGTGTCCAGATCGTCTCAGAGCCTGTTGCGGCGCGGGAGCGTTGGGCTGAGTATTTTAAGCAGTTGTACTAAGTAGACCCACTAACAGTTAACTTGGAAGCGAATTGTGCCGAGATTCCATTCCCTGACTCACCTATGACCATCAACCCTTCCTAACTGAAGTTAGGGAAGCGATCTCTAAGCTGAAGAGTGATAAAGTAGCAGGTATCTGCGGAATCCCAGCTGAACCGTTAAAGGCTGGTGGTGAACCTATGGTGCCGTTTCGTCTGACCTATTGAGGGGTGTGGTCAACCCACTCTGGAATGGGAAGAGGGACCGATGG